TGCATAGATCTGACTGGTGCACAAGCAGCAAGAACAGGGCGTGGATAGTTGAGACACCCCTCTTATTCCTCTCTATAGCAGGCCTGCCTGTGTGAGCATGAGTTTCGAGAGCTCTTGGTGAAGCAGCGAGCTCATTAGAGAGCCCAGCACCCCCGGTAACCGCCCGCCCCAATCCCCGCCCCACCCCGCTCGGGGATGAACTTCAGTGCCGCAGTGCTGCCCCGATAGGAATAGGAAGCCCACTGGCCAGTATTGTTCCTATGGGTAACAGCACTGATATTACGGTCTGTTAACAAGGGTGCGCTGGTACATGTTCAACAGCTAACCCCCCAAGGGAAACTAAAACCAACACACCAGATCTGCAGCCCCTGCCGCATTCGGCGGCATCAACAGCCCCACCTGAGCTTATGTCAAGCTACCACCATGGACAGGACTGCATGAGGAGCTGGGAGGGGACACATAACTGGCCCGTGCAAGCCAGCAGGGGGTGGATTGAGCTCAGCACCCTCTCTTTTTCATCTTCCTTTTATTGTACCGCATTTCTCAATGAGTGCAAACCTTGGTTATACAGGAAGGGTCTGCTTATCAGGCTTGTTCCAACACCAGCAGCCAGGCTCCCTGATTGAATGAGTGTCACACTACATCACCATGTCCCTCGGAAATAAAGGTTCCACTACACATTATATAATTAAATATATAACGTAAACAATACATAGGGCATATACACACACATACATAAACAATTATATGTAAACAATATATGTAATGTACCTATAAATAACGACATATATAATGTCTATTTATATGTATGTGTGTAGCGTGCCTATTTAAGTATACGTACATACGTGTGTGTGTTATGGTAGTGATTGCACCAGCATCTGTCAAAACTAATGGAATACTTAAAATCAGTGAGTTTCATGTCATGTAAATTTTGCCTCAATAAAGTTAATTTTTGAAAAGTCAATTTACTCACTTGAACATAAAATATTAGTAGTTTAAATCAGGCACAGAAACCCAACAAGATGATAGTGGGTTGGTGTGTTTACTGCATGCACATCTTCACCCTCGTTAATGCCATGGTTTAGTCATGTGGCTTTTTGTTCTTGTTTTGATATTGAGTACATATTTGCAATCATTTAAAAGAAAGAAGAGAAAGGAATTTAAAAAAATAACAACCAGGGCACACTGCCAGTAAAATTGCTATTTGAAAACATAAAGCAAAGAGCCAAATTGTGCCTCGTCTATCGGTAGCAGTCTTCTTTGAGCTATAACATACTCTTCTGATTTCTGAACTTGTGTTGTTTTAATGGGACAAAATTATACACTGCTTGTCCTTGGCTGCAAATATCAAACGGATGAAAGTTGCATTAGGTTTATAATTAAAATATTACTTTGACATTGAAAGCTCTTAGCAGACTGGATCTCAATTAACTTCTTAAACTCTGGCACCTTAACTGATCATCTCATTTTCTATTTGAAACAGAAATTTGAAGTCTTTTTTTCTCCCTAGGGCTGTGGCTTCTATTTATCCCCTCCCTTTGGGCTACAGTGTCAAATTAATAGAGATTAGGTATACCATATCTCCATTGCTGGAATTATAGGAATTACGTCTATGCGGCTTTTAGATAAACACACCCACACTCTTTAGGTTTTCAGTCTAATACATGGTATAGCATAAGATATTTTTATATACTCTGAAATATCTACATTTATCTATCACTGAATATGATCACCTGGTATTTAAATTATGTTTTAACGACATAACAGTAAACTTCATATGTAGACACATTGATGCATATACAGGTACACATGCTTTAAGAAGGCGATCTACATGGTATTTCTAGCATCTCCACACAAATGAATGTGACCCGTTTAGTAACTGTCCCTATAGGAAGCTATGCATTCCTACCAACAGAGGTATCATTAGCCAAAGCATTTCTGAAACTCTTCTTTTTGAGAATGGCCTCAGTGCTAACTCTTCCCTATGCTAACCCGTGAAAACTCTTGGCAAAACCTGGGGCCTTTGAGAGTTAACTGATCATCTCAAAACTGCCAAAAGCTTTTGGAACTAAGACGAATAAAGCTGGTTGGTGGAGAAGTTGAGGGCTCTGCCTGGACCCAGTGGCTCAGTGTGACTGGGACATAATGAGGTTTTATTTTTCTCTGTGGCTTCTAACCTGTGCCTGAAATCGGGGCCAAATGGAGAGTTGACAACATGCTTTGAGCAAGTGCTTCTGAAATCTTTTCTTGACTGTCTACTTTGGCTACACAAAATAATATATAAATATTGGCAGCACATTCACTCTTCTTTGCCATTTGTATTCCTCTCTTTGGAATAGTTCCCCATCCTGGCAAAATGTAGTCTAAACTCTGTATGCCACTTCCATTGAATTTCAGGTTTAAGACTTCATTTACCTTATCTGTGAAATGGGTACATAACTCCCATGTCATGAGGTCTTGTGAGGATTAAATGATAAAGTATGTAAAGTGTTTATTACAGTATCTGGATGAAATATGTGTATACCATATGTTAATTATCTTTTGTCCCACTCTCCTCTCTTTCCAACTAATACAATATTTGGGTATTCCAATGTGTTAAATGATTTTGTTAATCCAACAAAATGTAAATGCTATGAAATAAAAATAAATAAATATTAATAAAACACTGCAGCCAATTTCTACCTGTCTTAAAGCAGAAATGTCAAGAGTTTTAGGGGTATTTGCATACCATATGTCACTCTTTTGTTTCAATACAGGCTACTCTTTAAAAGCCTTATCTGATAAATTCCAACAAAACATTTCAACTTGAAGCAAAACATTTCTGAAACTTTTCCATATTTTACATTTTTTTTTAGGTGATGATAAAATACCAAAGAGGGTAGGGGCATTTTAGGCAAACATAAATTTACAAAGACATATTTATTTTGGATGCATTGGTTGAAAGATCTTATTTCTTTTTTCCTTTTTAATTTTAGAGAAAAAGAAAAAGACTGGTAACCAAAATACATGCAAGGCCTTTCAAACAGTATTTTTGGCTCCCAGAAAGCTCAGCTGCAAATAGAAGATGTTGAGATGGTAAGGATTGTGGGTTTGAACTGAGCCTGTGCCCGCATGGAGGCTGCAGCCCAAGGAGCCCCATGCTCGGGAAGTCCTCCCTTTATTTTATTTATTTATTTAAAGATTTTATTGAAGAATTTGGGGAGGGGAACAGCATTGGAGAATTGGGGAAGGGGAACAAACAAGCTACTGTCCCCTTGCTTCCCAGTCCAGTGGTGGAGGACGTCGCCTCACTGGCCCATGTTGGTATTATCATTGTGCTCTTCCCAGGTGAGTCAGATGGGTCGCCGGCCACTGGACGGCTGCTCACAGCAGCTCACGAAAGCTCACGCCCGCTGCTGGCTGCTCATGGTAGCCCACGGCAGCCCACTGCAGCCTTTGGCTGCCTACACCCACTGGCTACTCACGGCAGCCCAGCTCCAGGTCGAGCTGTTGTTCAGCATCTTAGCTGTAGAGGGCAGTGTCACTGGCCCTCATATGTGGGATCCGAACCAGGGCCCTGCTGCTCAGAGCTGGGGCCTCAAGCCAACTCTTAACCAAGGCACCACTTGGCCGGTTGTGGTTTTTTTTGTTTTTTTTGGGGGGGCAGTCCTCCCTTTAGAGGCAATGTGGGCTCGCTAGGTCTGTGAAGAGGCCACACTGTGAACACAAAAGCAGAACAATGGTGTTTGGATAAACCTGCCAGTCAAAACTGCATCTTCTCACTCAGGGTACATACAGCCATGGAAAACTTCTTCATCCAGACTATTCTACAGACAACAGGCAACACCCCTCTTCTGAAGGTACAACTCCCTTGAATGAGTAATTTAATTATATAGTTTTTTGTTAGTTTGTTTGTTTGTTTTTAAGTGGAAGGTATGATTTTGAGATGTTTTTGGAAAAAGTGGACCAGAATCTGGCATTAACAAGAAAGCATTCGGAGACTTTCTTGGCAAATGCCATATTTATACACTACAATTTGCATTTATGGGGAGAACTTAGAATGATCTCATCAAACTCCTGCACAGGAGACCCCACCCACACACACATGCAGCGTTTACTTTTCATTTTGTATCCTTGGTTGTAGGTGTAAGAGGAGTGACTGCTGTCTTCAGCTGCCATACCTACGTCTTTTATGGGGAGTCTCTCTTTACCTTAGTTGACATTGTATATTCCCTGGAACCATTTTTAAGACAGCTGAAAAGTTCGCAAGGGGTGAAATGGGGGAAGAAGGAATGGTTTAAAAGTCAATTGCACAATTCCTCAGGGAGAATATACCTGTGACTTAGCAAAACTCATTGATGAGTATTTGGTGTGAAAGAACGTCCTCAGGCTAAGACCCAGATGGCCTGGGCTTCAGATAAGGAGAACTTGACTGCTTTGTATAAAACAGGTTTTCTATAGGTGGTAAAGGAAGGAAGCAGTAAGGATTTCAGAAATAGAGATACTCAAGAGTTTGTGATAGAAATGGCTAAGTTCAGATAAGAGGCAGGAACTTTGGAAGAATAAGGCATCCAAGAGATATATCTTTGGGCTGGATTCTTTGAGGCTACCTAATACATAATTATTATAAAGTATTTGTTGATTGGCTCTTTGCTGTTATCTAGTTGGTATAACCCCCTCAATTCAGCTAAATTCTATTTGGAACACCGACCTTGTCAAAGCAGCACCTTGAAAAACTAAATGGCAAAGATTTTTCAAAACTGTTTTCATCAATATTCGGTACATGAAAGGGGACAGCTATAAGAAACAAGATGGGAAAAATATTAAGAATTGAGTGGACGCAGAATATTAAATGAAGAAAGTATTACGGAAATGCAAGCTCTTATAAGAATGTCCCAAAATATTGGGAAGTTGGTGAATCATACAGTTTGTCTACAATGTGTATATGAAGATTGGATTCATTTTTATTCAAATGTCATCATTGAGTGAAAACGAAAGCCTGAAGGCTTGGGGATATCCAGGATGCTTGAATAGAAATCTCAATGTTTCCAGTCTGGATTTATCAAGATGTTTTCTTCAATTAGCTGTCCTTCTTCGGATGTGGGCATGAATCTCCTGAGACTTCGCATAGAATCCAGACTCCTAAGTGTGGGGTGTAAGACGTGTGGCCCAAACTGTTCCTCACTGACGTTTCATGCTTTACCCTGGAAGATGATTCAATAGACCTATTTGTAAGATAAAAATTGTCCGCAGCTTGATCTGGGATAGGAACACATTACAGGAATAAATGATGACATAATTTCTCTAAAAGAGAAAGAGCCCCCACCCTGGCAATGAGAATTTTTTTTTTTTGAGTGGTTTAGTTCACGGCACCCTCCTTCTGGGGAGAAATTAGTATTCCTGACAAAATGCTGAGTGATTTTCTGCTGATCTTTAACAGGGTTAAGCCTTATTCTGGAAACTGCTGCCCCCACCCCTCGTAGACTCAGCTAATTGTCAGTCAAGAATCCAGTGACCTTTAAGGAAACATTTTTTTTCATTCTGTATCTAACATGATTATCTGCATTTAATAGAGAATCCAACAAGGCTACCTATTCTCATTTTTCCTATAAAATACCTGAGTAAATTCTCGATTTGGTCTATTAGGCTTTATCCTTCATCTCTCCTATAAGATTATAATAAAACTTTGACCCATCCTTATAACCAAATTGTCTGAAAAGTTCTCTTTAATACATGCAGGAGAACATTTTGGTTGCTGCAAAGCAACTGCATACAAATCTGGGGCCCACATGATGCTGGCAGCTAGAATTATATTAAATCAATGAAACAAACAACCATATATATATATGAAGATAATACTTGTGGTTTGGATAAACGTATCTTAGAATCCCTGTGCTGTCTGGTATGGTAGCTACTGGGTTCATGTGGCTGTTGAGCACGGTCATAAGCCACAAAAGGACATTGTGGTAAACAACGAACTACATACATGATGGTGCTCCCATAATGTAGCCGCAGAACCATTCAAAACGGTCCTATCCTATTTAAGGAGATACTGAGTTGCTTTCCAGAGAGAATAGATCAAAACCGTGAGTCATACAGCAGAAGCATCCACAGAGGAGAGAACACCCAGAACTAAAGCCTCTCCCATCACCCCAACCTCACTTCCTGCCCCACCTATACGCAGGGAACCAAAGGACCAGGACAAAACTGGAACTTGAACACTGGAACTCTTTCAGAAGAGAAGGGTCTGCTGTCCAGGAAGATCCGGTGCTGACGCCCCTACCATGAATGGCCAAGCTCCAAGGTCCTCCAATTAAAACTTGCCCACCATCACTTTCACACACTTGCTTCCCCTAAACCCTTAACATCGAGCTCCAAACCCTGATCAAGCAGTTTGGGCTTTTGAGCATTAACGTCCCATTCTCCTGGGTGCTCCATTCATAATAAAATAGCCAACCTTTCTCCACTGCAATTGTTGGTGTTGTGTTTGGCTCTGCTGGTGCCTGAACTCTTTCTGTTCTGTAACAATGATTATAACAGAGCTGAATTTCCTGTAAGCAATGGAATGATATGTGGTTCAGGATGATTTGTTTTTCTGATGGGAGCAATAACCGTGGAATTTGGCAATAGATTTCCTCCCTCATGGCGGCTCAATTTTGAATGCACAGGTGACATCCCAGTCAGTCAGCCACTGACCTGTTTCAGCATAGAGGAGCCTGCCCCCCCCCAGCATTACATATTCAGAGGGCACTACAGCCCCCACACCCAAACCTAGCTTGGTGGTCTTCAAGTACATTGCTGTAAATTCTTTATTGAAGACCCTGTACAAGGACCCAGGTCCACAGAAGCTACCTCAACAAGTATTAAGTGCCACTGCCACATTAGCTTTCTGTGGCAGCGTGGAGCCAGCCTGTCCCTGCACTCTGGAAATAGTTCCAGGTTGTAATGATGTGAAGCGTAAATAAGTTTTATTTCTTCCATCAATTCAATACCAGAGACAGCCCTTTGTGAAGACAGAGCCAATGCTAACAAATTTCCAAAGTTACAATACTAGGTTCTCCCATATGTCAACTAAGATTTGATATATATGTGGTCATGGGATGTGGAGTACTGTGCGGGGAGTGGAGTTGATGGAATTGTGATAGATATGTATAATATAGGGGGAGGAGGTGGTGGGTTAGGGGCAGGGGGTGGTCACTCTGTAAGGGGTGAAAAGAATAACTATTGCATTGTTTTGTACACCTAAAACTAATAAAAAAATATTAGGTTCTCAGTCCCACATCCTCTGCATGTTAAATGCCCTTTTCTTCATGACCACCATCAAGTTCCTCAATCTGACCACTGCTCCGACATGCGGCTTCCAAAACCACACTGCCTTGACCATATGTTGCTCTATCACTCCACCTTGATTTCTTATCCCCGCTGAGCCTCAGGCTGCCGTTCACTCCCCCCGACACTACTATCCACCATCACCTAGCCAGTGTCTCCTCGATATTTCCAATCACTCCATCCCACATCCCTGTTCATGCAGCAGTATCAACAGCTTCGATGTTGTATTTCTCACCGTGTCTGAAGGCAGCAGAGGGAGAGCTCGTGGGACAATGTTTACAAAGTCTACAGTAGCATAATGACCTAAGCCTTCACAGTCACTCCCCAAATACCCTGACTCACCCAGAGCAATTTCCAATCCTGCCAGCTCCATTCATGATAAGTGTCCTACGTGGGAGTGCCATGTTTTCATCTTTTATACTGTATTTTTACTGTACCTTTTCTATATTTAGATGTTTACATATGCAACTATTTCCCATTGTGTCACATTTGCCTACAGTATTGAGTACAGTAGCAGGCCATAAAGGTTTGCAGCGCAGGAGAAATAGGCTATCCGCAGTCTAGGTCTGCAGTAGGCTAGACCACCCAGGTGTGTGCAAATGCACTCTGATATTTGCACAACAACATCATCTAATAGCACATTTCTTAAAATGTACCCCTGACGTTAAGCAACACATACCTATTTCCTTTTGGCAATGCTATTATAGATAATGGGAGGATTTTTATGTGGGGGGTTGTTTTACATATTTTGTTCATTTGACTTTTCCCTATGATTTCTAAGAGGACCTGCTGTACAAGTTTTGGATGGTGTTTTAACCCAGCTTGGAACGAGATGGTACTGAATGAAGACTTTCATCTGATGGCTGACTAACAAAGTAAATAATTCCTGAATTAAAGGACAATAATAATTGTGTGGTTCCCTTTGTTTAACAAATATTGGGTTGTCGGAAAAGTCATGATGCATTTTTGCGACAAAAAACAGAAAAAAATACGTGATGATTTTTCTGACAATCCAATATTAACTAAATTTCTAACATATACTGAACACAGTACTACATTCCGGGGATACAATGATAAACAATGCGGGTGTGTTTTTCTCCCCTATTTTCAGTAATAATATGGAAAACTACAAGCATGAGGAATGTCACATAAAGGATTTTAAGTGACACTGCTGGTAGATAACCTATAACAATGGATTCACAATCACAGGACATAACTAGTTTGGAGAGTTTTGAAATGGGTTCTCTGATCTAGTGGTTTTTAACCTGATATCTAAAAAATCAATATATACATTAACTACATAAAAAGAGATCCCAGGTGAGGATTCTCTCCAGTTAAGGTCCATTCCCAGAGAGGGGTCCAGTGAGAGCCAGCAGATGTCGGGGATCAGTGTCTCGATCCTGAAGGGGCATCTGGGCCGCACAATGCCGTTCCCACTACAGATTGGGTGACATTTCAGGTCCTCTGAGATATCCATTTGTAGTTGTTCATTGGGTCCAGAGGTAGATTAACTGTGAACTAACAAATAGCAAGCTTGAGGAGCTTCCCAGGCATGGGTCCCTATGAAGGCCCCAGAAAGGACACAAAGAGTTTATGTTTTTGTAAGTTTGAAAAAATAAGTTATTTTAAGCACTATTTCATTCTTCTACAACTCTAACTTTCCTCATGTTGAATGGCATGGCTGTCGTCACAGAGGTTATTGGATCTGGCTATAGGCAAGTTAAAGTGGGGATTTATTACATTTAATCTTAGCAGGTTATATTTGTGAAATTCAGAATCACTGCCAAGATTAGTCATTTTTTAGTTATCCCAATGCAGGAAGGACTAATTCTGGTGTTCATTATGACACAAAGTTGCAGCACCAGGGATCATGCAATGACATAAACATGTCTTTGAAACTTAGCATCCGAAGGAAGAATATAGTGGAGGAGAAACAAGGTTTGTAATGTGAGGAACCATCATCTAATCTCTAGAAAATTATTGTAATGGTTAAATTAAATTGTAAAAGGAAGGAGGGAGATCCAAGATGGCAGAACAGATAAACACTGTGCCTGCTTCCTTCCATGAACACGTTAAAATTACAACTAAATTATAGAACAATCGACCTGGAGAACCATCTGAATCTAGCTGAACAGAAGTTTTATAGCTAAAGATAGAAAGAAGAAGCCACATTGAGACTGGCAGGGCGAGTAGAGATGCGAAACAGGGTGGTCCCACACAGTGTGTGGTAGTTTAGAATCAGGAGGGATATCTCAGCTATGGGGGTTCCCCCCACAAGGGACCCCAGCCCCCTGACACAAGTCTCCACAGCACACAGTACTCGTGCCAGGAAGATAAGCCCCGACAACATCTGACTGTGAAAGCCAGTGGAGATTTTGACCATCTGAGTGGGGTTGAAGGTTGTGGAAAACTGAGATGTTCTCTTAAAGGGCCCCTGCACAGACCCACTCACTCTCAGGCTCTCACCCTAGCTCGAGCAGACAGGTGGTGACTCTGGGGGCACTGAAGGTATATGGGGGGCAGACTTAGGTGCGTGGCTCCCGGTCGAAGGCTGGAGGACAGTTGCCATTTTCCCTGTGAGAGGGCCTCCTAGCAGCTGGCAGGTAGGTGCTATCTTTCCTGTGTTGAGCCCATCCCCATGCCCATGGCCAAATCTGAATCTGATTGTCCAGGTGAGCTCTGCTGTTTTACCCTTCAGGATCATTGAGAGCTCACCCTACCCAACTCCCCCAACACTGGAGGCACCTTCTCCGGGAGCAGCCAGGCCTGCCAGCATTGCACGCTTTCTTGGAAAACTATCAGAGTCTGTGGACCCCAGACAGGTAGCCACTGACCTCAGTTTGTTCTGAGACTTGCTGAGTAGATCCAAGCTCAG